GCTTAGTACAATCTCGCACTTAGGGGCCGGGATGTAGAATTTAGCATTCTTTGCATTCTATTTCAGTTTATTAGCATTCCCTCGGGAATACGTTTTGTTTTTCTTTCCCGCGTTCGCTATAATTTACATGTTGTAATATTCTAGCTTTTTAGTTTCATCGTTGATTTCACCGAGAGAACATCTGGTTTAGTTGCCCTTTTTTCGCGGCCTACAGCGCCGATACAATGTAAGTTCCTAGTTATTATGTTCATCGCGTTCGCTTTAGCCGCCTTTCAGTTTTATATTTCTGCATTTTGTAAACTTGTATTTTTGTTGGTTCTTTATTAGTTCAAACCTCTTCCTCTATCGAGCGTTTGAAATCATCGCTGTCAGCGGCCACGAAAGGACACGCCTTTTGGCAGTTACAGACCTCACTTCATTTGATGTAGATCAAATGACAGCAAAGTGACATGGCTTTATACCTAACACCAATTCTTCAAGAAATGGCACAGCTACATGTTAACGTAATATGCTGAAATTTTAACTATTCAATAAAAATCTTCATGCAGATTTACCAACACTAAAATAAACAGTATATAGCGGCTTCATGACAAACACAAATTCCTCAAGGAATAGGTAAAGTAGCCTTTCCTTTGAATCATACCGAAAATTACTCTTCCTCTTTGTCAAAAATCTTGTTACAGATTTGCCTGTAACTAAATGTTCGTCATAGAGACTTTACACCTAGGAAATGTTCTTCAAGAAATTGATACAGCAACTTTTCTTTTGAATCCTATTGAAGATTAAAACAATAATTAAGTTGACAGTGACAACAACAATCCCTTAACAAGGATAAATATCCTTGCTGGTGTATGACTATAATTCTGTCAACTAGTGGTTTATATTTAGTTTGAGATTCCTTACTCTGGTTCAGTAACTTTTCGTATAATAATCACATGATTGTAAATAAAAATTACAAATGGTAGCAGTTTACAATCCATGCTTATTCTTCTGGAAGTTATAAATTTATGATTTATTTTGACAACCTCTTTGATTGTCATTTGGAAGTAAAATTTTTTGTGAATTACATGCAACAAGGATATTCCTAATGCTTTATATTTAGGTTGAACTAGGAACACTCAAAACTGTGGTCTTGTTTCATGAATCACAGATATTGAGTGTGTTGAAAGAAAAATTAATGTAAAAAAGTTTTTCAAATTATATTTATAGTTATATTTCCTTGGGAATTTGACAAGCACAATTCCACAGTTAATCTGAAATTTTGGCAAGCATTCATCATAAATCTAGTTGGAAGAAGAACCTTTCTACATAGAATGAATACTTGCTAAAAGCAAGGATTTAAGATATTTTTTCAACAGTGGAAATACCCTTAAAATGAGAATTCGATGTCATAAATCATAAAGCAAGGAATGTAAATCTTATTTTTAATGGTGGTATTCTTAAACTGAGGAACTTTTATTGGAGAGTATAAAATTCTTAAAAGCCGAAATCTTGATCCTTACATTTCAAGGAATTGACTCTCAAAATAAGGAAAAAATCCTTGTTTTCAGTATCCACTGACTTACAATAAGAATTCCGAAAAACATAAACTTTAGAGTGGTGTGAACATCCTTGTGCTTGTTTTCATCCCTGTGCTAATAATTATCTCAGAAGTGCAAGACAGGCTTCAAGCGCGGTACTCAGTTGCAACACAAGCATAGGCATAAACATAACAAGCTAATGCGCAGGTGCATAGGCACAGCTGCAACATAAACATGAGCACAAGCGCTCAGTCGATGTTATGTTTAATACGGACATGGTTGGTATAAGCAGTATAGTGCTTGCTGATTGCCTGTTAGTCTTTCGCTTATGTTAATCCTTACGCTTATGCCAACCAAGTCTTAACTAGACAGTATAAGCATAAAAAGAAAGCAACGTTTTGATAACAATATGCATATATGTTTATCCTTATGTCCGTGCGTTCCATACAGCGCATAAGCTTTTACATGCCCATTCCTATGCTTGCATCGCAAGTAAATACTGAGTTCAATTTTGGAACAATAGTTTTTTGATAAACAAAACAGCACGCTTTTGAACTTTCATTACAGAAACCTTTACAGTAAAATTTAGAACAGTGATTGTCTTGCACTAAATCCTAATTAGGCCATATTTTCTGTCTGAGGCCTAGTTTAGTTTGACATCACACTCCTCATAATGATCATTTACCAGTCTAACAATTCTTACCTTAGTATGGAAATCAAACCCCCATTTCTATTGACCACACAAATTACATTGGCTTATCCAATTCGCGATTTGGCTCACAGAGCCTTTGATTTTCATCATGTGCCATTTTTCTGAATTCCATCAAACTACGTAGTACGTTTCCT